TCTCCCACATGCAGGGAGATGGTGCTTTAATGTACGCGTATGTGTGTATGTCTACATGTGTGTGTATGTTTGCGTGTGCTTGCATTTTTTTTGTCAATAAATAACTGAGCTCTTGTTGTTGGCATAGTGGACATTTTATTGATTGCACAGTAAAACCACAGCTATGAACGATCCCAGTTTGTGCTCCCAAATGCTTCTGGGTTTTTACACTGCATCATACTGTACGCACTTGTTTACTTTAGGGGAGTGAAAACTCATGGTTTTCAAAATATAGATGCCAGAAGAATCGACATACAGGGTACAGTCTGAATCCAAATAAGGCCATTTAGGCTTGTCACAGAAAGGTACTAGTGCCAGTCACAAGGTCTTCCCATCCTGTTATTACATTTTACTGATCACCGAGATGAATTTTAGCACAATTTACCACTTGAAATATTCACATATTCTTTATCTTTTCACTTTATTTCCCACATCTGAACATTAAAATCCTGAAAAGAAATCAAGCACAATGAAATAATGTATAAAAACATTGCTTATCTTTGGTATAAAATTAATCTTTGTGTCTAAATGCAGCTTGTCACCACGTCCAACCAAGCGTGTACCATGTTGCAGTAATTTTTTTCAGGCTTATTAATCAGTTTTCCACCTGTGTTGCTGCCTTGGAGCCTTTTGCTCACTGATGACTTTAAAAATGGAAATAGGACTGGGTGGGCTGATGTCTTACCATTTGGCACGGAAACACTACGATATGATGGAGGGCTTTTAACTTTATTGACACTAGATGGAAGACACAAGACCTGCAGCTTAGTAGAGATATTAAAAATGAATCTGGGGGTTAAAATGCAGGATAGCCTGTAAGCTATGAGATGTCTGTGCATGTGTATGTCACAGACATTGTGCATGTGCATTGTGTGTGTGTGTGTGTGTGTGTTGGAGGCTGAAATCTGTGTGGGGCGTGACTGGCATGGTGAGAGGATCCAACTGTCACAGCGGATCCACCAAGCTGGAAGAGGAGGAGGAGGAAGGAGAAAAGCAGAACATGGCTTGGGAAAGGTGATGGATGTTGAAGGCAACATCGCCATCTGGTGTCAGCAAAATTACAGCTGTACATTAGAAAAGTGTGCCACATGTAAGTTAATGTGAAAGATTACAATTATGTGATACAGTGGTTCATTTAGTATTGAAAATACCATGATACATACAATGAAATTAGAGAATGTCGCTGTCTCTGTATCCATCTGAAGCCTACACATATGCACTCAGACCTCCTCACCCAATTCTAGGAAGGCAAATAAACACTCAGTTGACTATGTGAGACAAGCATTGTTGTTTTCCTGAATGGTCAGATTTCTGAGGCAACACTGGAGCAAATGATTCACAGTACATATTTGTTTCACTCAACTGACTTTACACTGTTAACAGCCTCAAGAATTTTGGCCTCTGTCTATTTGTCTCTCTAACACACAGCCATATGCATATATTTGCTTCAGATCTTTACCTCAGTTTCTTTTGGTCTTTTCCTGTCCTTTTATGGAATGTTATTGCATTAAAAGTGAAAAGGCAAATTAAAAGTGATGTTCTGTTTTGTGTGTTTAACAGAAATACATTTGAGCATCAGATTTTTTGGACCCACCAAAAAGCTGCCAAATAATTTACAGAATGCATTAAGCCTGATAATCAGACTAAACTGACACTGTGGAGAGCAGCACACAAGCCTGGAAACAGGTTAAACAAAAATAATTAGAACTCATGTTTCCCCACACTAATTTAATAAGACATGACTGAAAAGCAATTTAAAAAAATGTATTTAATGTCTTTAAAATGTTCCTGAAAAGGAAGAAACAAGCAAGGACAAATCATTGCTGTTCTTTGTTGGCAGAGGGACATGATGGGCTTATCTAAATAAAACTCAAATTAAATTCAAGTTCTATTACATAATGTTACATATTCAGTTTAAAAGCTGGAAGCCCCCTTGTTTTTAGCATCACTGTATTTCTATGAATAACCTGAAATAGTGAAAACCACTGACTGATGACAGTCGAATTATTCTGTTCAGTCCAACAGAAAACTAAAACCACTGCTCTGACCACATAGTGACCACTAGAGGGGGCTCTAAGTTAATTCAAATAGACTCAAATAAGATGCCCACCTCCCCTTAAAGCTGAGATCACCCAGGAGTTAAAGGTCACACACTCAACTTTGCTATCTGTCCAAGCAGATATCACAGGCCAGTCCTGTTTTTATGACGCATTCATGGAAAGAGTTTATGTACAGGTCAGTGTAATGATGTTAGACCCATGTAATGGAAACACGGATTAAAAGGGGAAGTGGGAGAAAAGAGGGAATTAAGTGGCACACTGGGAATTTGACAGATACAATAAAGGTGTTTTGTCATTCATAGAGCTGGTTCATGTAGCATCATAGCCACCATTGTGTGTGAGTTCAGCTTTGGTCTCATATTTGTTAAACCACTGCCTGTAGTTGACATTTATTGGAATTATAATGTGGCTGGACAAAATACAGCGTGTTTCTTAACTTTCATATATCAAAAGCAGAATATGTACAAATATGCTCTATTTGTGTCCATAATCTATGCACTTTAAATAGTTGAAATGATCCTGGAACAGGAGGTCACACACTGGCCATCTGCTCATACTAACTACTATCTTCTCCTAGTGTGTGTTACAAAGTGAATCAAAACTTAAAACCATACACTTCCTCTGTACCAGAGGTTTGTTTCCAGAAAGTGCAACAGTATATATGACATGTTCAGGATCAGTCTTTAGCTATATCGGGTTATATCACCTTTAAAATATTCCACAGTATTACAGTACTACATAGTTTATGAGGTGACCGAAGAATACATCCACTGTACTTTTTAAGGAGTGAGATATTAATTAGGACACCTTACACTCCTACTCCACCCTTCCTCACTAGGAAGCCAAAAACACACACCACATCCTGATGTCACCGGTCTCCATGGTGACCCTAGAGCCATCTGGAGTACAACATAAAGCACCACACAAACATGCATACACAAGCACACTTGTGTGCTGAGACGTGTATACAGATCACTTTATATCAAAACTGAATTCCCTAATAATGATAATTTCATCTGTTAAATTCTGAAAATCTGAAAGGGACAGATTTCTCATTACAAATGTGTTTCTTTTGATAATGCACAACTGCACACACTTGCCTAACTGCAGATGGCGCAGCGGTCACTGGGTATTCAAAATAGTAATCACTCCCCCAGCATTCCTTGCACCCAATGCCACGCCTTCAGGCATGACATGTATGCACAGGCAGACAAACAGAGAGAAATAAAATAGTATGGCAGTTCAACTGTAATTCAGCAGTGCTGTCAGCTGCTGCAAGACCATTTCTGGCAACACTCTAAATGAGTTCTCGTGAGTGTCCCTCTCAGCCAAAGAGAGCACTGTCGATGAAGCTGAGCCATGGGCCTTAGCATTCTCATTTACACTGCTACCAAATCACTATCTTCTGCCTCATCGACTCATTAGGAGGATGAACGGGCAATGATGAGAAGGCAATAACTCGGCAGCCAAAGAGCCATGGCTTCGCACAACATATAAGTGCAGTGTGTGCATTACGTCAGCAATTCAAACCCAGTTGCTAACATTTGTCACAGATCTCTGTGTTTGCCTCTCTGCAAAAAACAAACCAAAAAAGGTAATAACATGAAGTCACCTGTTCATGTATGGCACCTTACGTCATTGGTAAGGTTCCCAAAATGGCTGCTGAAGTGATTGTGAATAGGTAAGAAAGAAACAATGAAGTTAATCATTGCTGTTCATCATAACAGCATTATATAATAATAAACCAGATGTTGTGTTTTCAGTAGTGCTACCCCCGAGTGGAGGGTGGGGGCAATTATTATAGCTATAAAGAGCAACATAGTACCTTAACCTGACCACATCTCTTTCATTGTTTCACTGTACCTTTCATCCTACATATACATATAGCTTACCAATTTAAAAAAAGCTGATTTGGTGTTATTGTCAAGAGTTATGGGGATTCACAGTAACTAATAATTACATTTTACACCTAATGCTGTCTTGTTGGTTAAAGTTAGTGTAAGCCTTATAAATCAATGCACTGTTCTCCTAAGTGACTAAAACAGCTTTGAATGTGTTTCTTTACAGTACCACTGGCTGAGTGACTGACAGCCCACTTTTCTTTACTGCCCTATGATGCACTGTTTTTATCAGTGTTTGAAAGGAGACATAAAACCCCTTGTGCCATTTCTGATACTGCTCCCATTGTGGAGGGAAAAGTCCCCTATTTAGCTTAGTTCTCTCTCTCATGAGCTGTACAAACAACTGACCTTTAATGGCACCAGTAATGGATTCCAGTTGACACCAGCTCAATCACCATTAGATATAAGCTGTTCTCCAACCCCCTTCTCTCTGTTGTACATGTAATGACAGTGTTTAATTGTTATTCAGACTTGCTATTGTTATTTTCAGTCATTACCTTTGAGGCTGATTATGACTTTAACTGAATATTGGCTCAGCCCACATGCTCATTAGTGAGTTGCATTAATAAAGCACAAATTGGAAAGTCAGTTGGCAGACAGAAAGGTCAGCCAGAGAAATTGTGAGACTGCTGGGCTGCCAAATCACAATAGTGTGATTGAATGCCACCCTCACTAGTAACCAGTGATGATGACGAACCAAAACAAGTATACCATATGACAAAATGTATCTGTGTCTGTATTGGGGGTTTGCCACTAAACTCATTTTTTGACTTCATCTTTCTAGGCTGATACAATATTTTAATAAATATATTTATTAAAACTAATCTAAATGGTATCAAAGTAATGTACAGTAAGTAGTGAAAGAAAAATAATAAATTACTTGCCATCTGTCAATCTCTGAAGTCCCTTTTCTTGAAACTTAATATGAACATTGATTAGGTCCTATACACCATGTGCACAAAGACATGCTGCTCTCTACTGCACAGTCAGAAGGAGAAAACATATCCAGGTGCTGCTGGGATCATTATCAAACATTAGCTTCTCTGCAATTAAGTCTCATTTCCCCACGTTTCACACAATTGTATCTGATGACTGCTATTTGGAGCTGACATTCCACTCAGTCTTGACACCTCAAAAGCTACTAACTGCAGTTTAATACATATAATATATAACACTTTCACATTAATACTCCTTTCCCACTGGCTGCTAAAGAAGGAAATAGTGAACAGTAGGATCATTAAACTGTAGCTGGAGGAATGGGGGTGCTGTATGGGTGTTTAATGAATATGAAGGCTCAATCCAAAAAAGAAAAAAGTAAAACAAGGTACTTTCTCTGCTTAATCTAGTAAGAATGGTAAATGTGTCCCAATTTCCCCCTAATGAGAGAGAGGAGAGAGAGGACGAGTATGGTGATCTGCATTTTTCTTTGGGGAACCAGTGGTGCGTTATAGATTGGAAAACATACCTGTGTAGTAAACAGATTATAAAATCAGGTTCTCTCTCTCTTAAGATGTTGCTCATTGTCAGCAATTACTGGTACCCGTTTTCTGAGAATCAAAGTAGAAAGACAGTGAAAGAGAGAGATGAAAGAGCCAGAGTCAGGTTGATGGAAGAATCCCATTCATTAAAAGGGTGGAAGATGAAAATCAAGAATTAGTCTTAACCTGGTATTTTTGCACCACACTAACAAAAATAATACAGAAAATCAAATGATGGATACTGGACTTATTTGTAATAGACAGAGGCAGTTACACACATACACAGGGTCGTTACTGAAGCGTGCCGTCAGCATTGGTACCGCAGTTATTCATCAGAGCCTCACCTCCCTTTTGTCTTTCTGTCCTCATCTCCTCTGCTCCTCGTCCTCCCCGTCCTCTTGGATTTCTTCAGTTTTTCGTAACGCACTCTTACATACTGTACATGAAAGTGCAGAAACTGGTGTCAGTCAAGTTAGTGAATGGTTCAAAATCAGGACACAGTGAGAGTGAAGTCTGAGATTTAGTCAGGTTTCAGGGAGAGCAGAGTGGCTCCGGGGTGGTGAAGGTGGCTGTGTTGTTCAGATGAGGGTGTAGGTGCTGCCTCTGGCTCACCTGAGCTGATAGGCACTGGTCTTTCTGGTGCTGCTGAGGTCTCCAAGTGGTCTCCCATCCAGGCCCAGCCAGTTGTGCAAAGCTCGACTGTCTGCCATACCAGGTTAACTAAGCTAAGAACGGGCAGCCACTGTTTGGAAGTGGTTTTGCCAACAGACATGTAAATAAAGGCTTAATGGAGGATTGGATGGATGATGAGATATAGATATGACAATGAAGAATTCAAGGACTGAAGGGGAGCTGCAAGGGGCTCACTTTGCACAATGAATTCACTTTCCCAGTAATTAAATTCACAAGAGCATGTCTCATTGAAGCCTGACTCAGGGAGGATGATTTAATAACAAACATCACCATCACCACTATTTAACTCCCCACCCCCAAAAGAAAATACAAACCAATCAGTTCAATAATTTTATCCTGAATGATTATCTGTAACTGGGTACAGGGACTGTTCAAACAATTCCATTGCGTCTAATAATGTAATCTAACAAGAGTTGAACTGGAAACAAAGTTGAGTGTAATAAAATAAAATAAAATGCATAAATATTCAAAACAACTGAATTTGCAATACTGCAAAGATTACATGCTGATTATGAGTCAGTTTTAATGCCACTGAGAGTGATTCTGCTTTACATGGACACATTTGTGAAATGTCACTGCACCTGAGCCAGCAGCATCTCGCTTCCTGTAAGGTAACAGAGGGACCCTCAGCACTGGGCACCTGTACATGTCCTTGTAGGAAAAGAGACACAGAGGGAGAATAAGAAAAGACACTGATGTTAGAATGGTGACCAATTACTTGTCTCTTTCTCCCTGTTTCTCTGCCTTTCCTCTCCTTCTGTCCCTCCTTGTGAGGGGAACAGCCTCTTTTCCTGATGCCAACATTTCAACTGGGGCCGCTTAATAAATTAAGCTGCTGCCACCATACCGTGACACAACCTGACCAGAAAGGCAGGTAGAGCACTGCTCTGTGGGGATGTCTGGCTTACAGACTAACTGGTAATGCATTTTAATGTACTATACTGTACCTGCTACTGGCCCTAGGGCAAATCTGAGCTGCTGAGTCTCTGCCACTACCACCGATACTGCCAGTCAGAGCAGTGTTTTGGTTTTCTGTGCTGGAAAATATCAAGGCCTCAGATTTTCTGTATGGTAAATTAGTTAAAGAAATGTATTTAACAGTATGAAACAAACTGAATTAAAATGACAAAGGGCACAAGACCCCTTTTTAAATAGGAAATAAAGCAAAACCTACCTTAAGGCCCTTATAGCATCAGCTGATATTATGCTTGAGTGGCACATATCCCCAAACACATTCTCAATCAGTCAGTCCAACAGAAACTAACAGACACATCTTTGTGCTTTCATGGCCCCTGGAGTGTCAGCAGGCCTACAGGACATTTGTCATGGGGCTTTGTCCAGTGGACAATCCAGCCCTCACACATACTGCAGCTTTTCATCTAAGACAAGATTCCTCTGATGTGGACAAGGTTTCTCATTGTGCGTGATCATCAGCTGTTTGGACACCTACATACAATCTGAAAGAGAAAGGAACAGCCAATGGCCTGATCCAAGTGTGATGAGCTCTCTGACAAAGCTCTGTCACTATTACAAATCCTGTCATATATTCAGGTTCAGGTTATTTTATTTGTACCTGTAGGTCAGGGGTCACCACCTGGACAGAGGGAAAGTGCAGCAGGTTTTTTCTCTGTAAATGCAGAGAAAATGTTCATCTTGGCTTTAAATACCTTTACTGCACTTATCATGTGAGCGACTGTTTTACCTTTGGCTTGCAGCTCACAGTTCAAATGGTTCAGTTTCCCAGTGATATCCCTTAAAAACACGAGGTCAAGTATCCACTCCGTGTCCCGAAGCAGTGAGGCATCTTCCCCCTTGGACTGCATGAACCCTTTGATTTCACCCAGCAGTGACAAAAACCGCTGCAGTATTCGTCCCCTGCTGAGCCATCAGATTTCTGTGTGTAGTAACAGGTCACCATATTCAGCTGACGGCTCCTCCAATAGCACCTTGAATATCCTGTGTTTGGCTTTGGAGCGGATGCCATTTATGATCTTCACCACTGGAGTCATCACATGGTCAAAGCGGGTCCCTTTTGCACATATCGCCTGCTGGTGAATGAAGGATCACCTTTGCATTGTGCAATGAAGCCTGCATGGCGGCCCGTCATGGCGGGAGCCCCGTCTGTTGTCACCAACACCAGCTTCTCTAATGGCACCTTTTGTCCACAAAGTACCTTTCCCCCACATTGTAGATGTCAATTCCCCTCGTTGTTGTCTTCAGGGGCAGAAGTGTCAGCAGTTCTTCTTTTGTAGAGAAATCATTAAACACTATTCAGATGAATATCATCAGCTGAGCTGTGCTGGTGCTGTCAACCGACTCATCACACTGGATGCTAAAACCCCTGCACGTAGTGAGATCTCGGTCCAGTTGCTCAGTTAAGTTCTCGGACATAGATGATATTCTTCTAGCCATCCGACTTGCTCCAAGTTGGACATCGGAGAGGGCAGAGATGACATCAGGACCATGCTTCTCATCTTTGAAGACTGTGTTTGCAACAATCATCATAGCTTCTTTAAAAACCTCCCATCCGAAAAGGCTTTCTTGCTCTTTATCATAAAGTTTGCAGCTCTAAACGAAGCTTCAGTTGCTTATGTGTGACTTTTTCACCGGCCTCGTGAAAAAAGACCGTAGTTTGTCCAGACCTGCCTTTAACCCACAGGCTTTTTCTTTCCTTAATGCACTGCCGGGTGGGTAGTTAGCATAGTAGCTTTCTGACATGTACTGAAGTGTCTCTCCACATTGTGCCGCTTTGCAGTCACAACAGTGAGACACACACATTTTTCTTTGACTGGCGTAAAAAAACAGCTCTTCCTCCGAATCACTGTGAAAATGGTCTGTTCTCTTTGGCTTTTCTGCCATTTTTGGGGGGTAAATCACAACTAACTCCTCATCGTTGCTGCACCGCATCCCTGTGTCTGGAAAGAGGTGTGTGGTGTTGACATGCGCGCAATATTGACCTTTGACCAGGCCAGATTTTGTTATATACATAAAACATTTTTGTTTTAAATTTTTTGTAATAAATAACGTCATTTAAAAAAATCTACATTAATTCAAGCGTTTTTCATTCAAAAAGTAAAGCAACAAAAAACGTTTTAGACGGAGCTTCATTGTGACCAGAGCTATTTTTTGAACATGCCTCACGGGCACCTCAAGTGGTCCTTGCAGGTGACCGTGTTGGTGACCCCTGCCGTAGGTAGATTTGTTTTGCAGTTAAATGTATGTATAAACACAGTATTAGTCTGGTAAAGGCCTGTTTACCTGTGTTACAAAAGATTAAATGAATTGGTGAATTGTTGCCATAATATGAACATTATAGTTATAAGAGTTATTAGAATTATAAATCAAGGCTACAGAGCTTTGCCAATATGAACAGTATAGCCGGTATTTTCACACTCTGAAAAGAGGATGTTAAGCAAAACAGTGACCTTTCCATTCCATTCAGTAACAGGACTGCAGCAGCCACCCTCCAGCTGGCTTCAGGCAACATCTCATGTTAAACTGTGATGTTAGCTTTACAGCCAAAGTGACAGTACTGCTGGATGATATTTTCCAGTGTATTATGATTATTTATCAATTCACATACTATATCACAGCCTTAATTATCAATTTGACAAGTGTTTTATTTACAATATAAAAATGTGCACTTCTTATACAGTAACGCATGTTCTAGACACACAGCAACATTAGCATTTATTTGGAGTCATATTTTTGACAACATGATGAATACAAGTCCAATATTCACTCTTCTTTTATCTGTTTTAGGTCTTCACCAACCTGGGGGAAGTATCTGAATTTTTAGCTGCTAAAAGTCTCATTACATTCACCAGATAGCTGCTAACCTTATCTATTAGCTACATGGTGCCAGCTGGTAGGATTTTATTTTATTTTTTTACTGAAAACTGCTGCCCGCTGCTGCTGGAAACAAGCAAACAAGCATAGGAACACAGTACAGACAATGAACCAAAACAGTAGGCTACACTGTACAGCTGCAAAAAATAACCCAAAAGCTATTAGTTGCAAAACCAAAAAAATGATCTAAGGATACTAAAAAAAATCTGAGAAGAGCTGAGGCAGAGTTGGGTGATGATTGGGTGGGGTTGTCACTATGACTAACACATAGGGTTCTGTTTTCCTGGAACTGAGCACAGGGATAAACACATGTCTAAACTCCAGGCACAAGGTAAATATGGGCGTGTTTGACAGTTTTTCAATTTAGGTGACCACAGACACAGCCAGGTGTTACTGGGCGCTTTGTGGAGGAGAGGCGGAATACATTATTAGAGGGAGGAATACATCATGAGCAGGTGGAGTCGGGGGTGGCTTCAGTTCTGTCCAGTCAAACCAGCTCTTCTCATCCACTCTTCTCATCTACCCAAGCAGGGTAGAAACCTGACTGACTGATGTCACTGATGTCAGGACATGGAAAAATATGAGGAAAGATTCTTTCCCCGTGTCTTCTTCTCCTGCCAGTTATGAACTCCATTCTTAGATTGACAGGGACAGAACTATTTATGTAGAAGTACTGCAGATAAATATTCACTTAGCAGTCTGTTGATATCACTGACTAGCTTTTGTGCATCTTGTAACCAGCAGCAATTACTGTATATAGTGTAATTTGCTCACAGCTGCATGCAGTGTGAAATCCATGGGGTGGAGTTCTCGCAAATAACTCAATAAAATTTGTATTATTTTAAAAATAATACAATAAAATCATATTGTAATCATATGTATATGGGGAAACTATGATCTGCCAGCATGCACAGCCAGTGGGTGTCACGCATTTTATCTCCTCCTACAGCTGATTTCAAAACAGTATATCCCCACAGTGAAGAAGGTATGTCAGTGTCAGCGTGGCCATTAAAATACATGTGGGTACCTGATCTTGTGCGTCCCATACACTTGTCAGGAAAATTGCAAATTCACCTGCGAATGCGATAAGAGGTGGTCTGAGCAGCTGTTATTGTTATCGCTATTTCGAGTCAAAACAAGCATCAAAATCACACTGCGCTGCCGAAATATACATATAGCATACACAAGGCCTCAACTGTGTCTCTCCTCCCGCCTCATGCGCAAAAAAAGTAGACATGCGCCCGAGGAAAATGGTGGTGTGAACCGGTCACAGGCTCCTGAGCTTGGTTTGTCCACCAGCCCTTTCCCACTTTCACCACAAGCAACCACTTCTATATGAAACCTCACCATAACATACAGTACACTGTTCTAGATGAATTCACTTCATTTTATACTTCATCGCATCTTTGAAATGAGGCAAACATCTCTCTCCAACAGTTCAGCACAGCAGCAAACACTGTCAACAGTATAGTAGATGGCACCAGAGGTATTAAAAGCTGTATAAAGTAGGTTATATTGCTAGTATAACAAACATGAAGCACTGACATATCAAGATAGACAAGTCATAATCTTTGTTTCATCAAGTGTCAAATCCACTTTGGCCCAGTAGTTTCTAACAGCCTCATTACTGAAACCCTCCATTTACCCAGGTCAGTGCTGTATCTGGTCCAATGCTTAAGGAGGCCAAACCTGTTTACTCTTGCTTTTTTTCTTTTACATACTAATGCTCGGGTATCTCAATGTCGTTAATGTCTTAAACCATGGCTGTATATATACATGATGTACCACCATGGTACCCACTTCCCTCCACTATGCAGAAATGAAGCCAAAATACTGTGGATACGTCGGCTGCCATCTTGCTTTTGCAACAAGATTCTGCTCAGTAG